AAAGATACGTTTATTTATTTTATTTCATTTCATTTAACAAAAATTTTTTAGCATCTACTATGTGTGAGATACTTTTTTAAGCACTAGAGATTCAGCAGTGAACAAAACATAGTTCCTGTCCTGAGAGTTTACATCTATGGGAACAGAAAGTCATAAATATGTAATGTGAGGTAGGAAATAAATGGTATGAAGAAAAATAAATCAGGACAAAGGGATAGAGAATGGAGAAATACTGTTTTAGTTAGGGTAGTTCTATTTTAGTGGACGTCTTAAAGAATTGAGGAAGTGAGTTGTGCAAATGTTTCAGGGAGAGTGTTCCAGGCAGACCCTGAAGTGGGAACATACTTGGTGGGCTTGAGGAACAATGAAGCCATGGTGTGGATGCAGCAATGAGTGTGGGAAATGAGGCTAGAGGAGAAGCCAGAAGCTGCACACTATGAGGCCTTGAGGTCCTGAGAGCTTTGGACTTTTACACTGAAATGACTGGAAGACCTTTGGAGGGTCTTGAGCAGAGAAGTAACATGATGTAAAAGTATGATTCTGGGTCACCTGGGTGGCTGGGTTGGTTAAGCGTCTGACTCTTGGTTTCAGCTTAGGTCATGATCTCAGGGTGGTGAGACTGAGCCTGAATTGGGCTCTGCACTGGGCATTGGGCCTGTTTGATATTCTCTCTCTCTCCCCTCTGCCCCAACCACTGTGCTTGTGTGCTCTCTCTAAAAATAAAATAAAAAAAAATAATTAGAGAGAAAAAAGTATGATTCTGACTTAGTGGGCTGACAGTGGGGAATGAGATCAAGAAGCTCTCTTTGGAGGCAGTACAGGTGAGCTATGGTGAAGGCTTGGATTACCTGATGAAGTGAGAAGTGGTCAGATTCAGGATATAATTTTAGGGGACAGGATGAATGAATTGGGTGTTAGCAAGAACAAGTAGATTGAGAAAACATTTTTTTTTTCAACACAAATGGCAGGTTAAAAACATTAATAGACAAAAAGCACCTACTTGAATTGAAATTGAATAAGAAAAGGACAAACCACCAGTATGGAAAATGAGTAATTCACAGAAGAGTAAGTCCAAAAGACCAAGAAACCTATAGGAAATGCTCAGTCTCACTAGGTGTTGGGGAAATGCAATCAAAGCCAGACTTAGATATTACTTTTCCCATTATACAGACCAAAAAGAGTTAGCTACTACTTTTCTCATTACTGTTTTTCTCAGTAGCTACTGTTTGTAGCACCAATGAGAGTGTGGGGAAAATAGAACTCAAACATCCCTGGTCAGAATGTGACTGATTACAAATTTCGGGGAAAGAGATCACATATTTTCATTAACATTAAAAATACATATTTTCTTTTTCTCTTGACTTGCCAGTTTCACTTTTGGACATCTATCCTAGAGAAATAAAATCCTCATCATGTACAAAGATATTTATTATAGCACCATTCAGCTAATGGCAAAAAGCTGGAAACAAGCCAAATATCCATCGTTAAGGAATTGGTTGAATATGTAGTAATACATCCACTCTACTGTGATGATAATGCATTAGAATGATGTCCTTTGACCTGGAGTGATGCGCATGATACAATGTTAGGTGAAGAAATCAAGTTGCAGAATAATGTGTGTAGGTTGACTCCATTTGCATATATGTTTATATGAACATGAATTAAGATATGGAGAGATTCATAGGAAGTTAACACTGATAACATGAGTTTTTAATTTTTGCAGAGAAATTTAATGAAGATTTAAATAAAATATTTTTGAGAGCTGGGTTACAATGTATATAATCTGTAGTGTGGTATATCTTAGATTTTACTTCCCTGCCTTGGCAGATGCTCAAGATTCTGGATGATGATAGATGAGAGCATCTTTAGTTCTCAAACACTAGAAAAACAGGCTTCTATTTCTTCAAAACCTAATTGGGACCTCCCAGGTACAGAGTAGTGACATTGGTTGTTTTTCCTATTCTTAAGTGTTTTAAAAGGGGGGTAATGAAATTTCATTAAATGTAAAACTGAGTGTTCTGATCAATTTTTCAGTTTAACATATTTTATCCCTTTGGATCCTGTTTTAAATTCTATGCTTTTTCTCTTTCATCAGCTCTCTGTATTAATTTCTTAGATATGCCAGTTATAACCTAGGGTGGGAGATATTTGTGGGCAATGGTAAATTGCATTTTTAGTGCAGTTCTAACCCAGGAAATCTTTAATTGAGGTAGGAGCCACACTGTCTGATTTTACATAAATTGTTTACTTCCCAATATCTTTGCACTTCTTATTCAGCTTTGTTATCTCTAAACTCAATTTCCTGCTTTTTTCCTACACATAATATGACTTCTACTCATTCTTTTTTCTGTCTTTATTGAGGTAAAACTGACAAAAATTGTACATATTTAAGGTATAAGACTTTATTCCCCCCCGCCCAGTTTTGTTGAGGTATAATTGACATACAGCATTGTGTAAGTTTAAGGTATACAACCTAATGATATATGTATATGTTATAAAATGATTACCACAATAAGTTTAGTTAACATCCGTCACCTCCATAGTTACACATTTTTTTTTCCTTGTGATAAGAACTTTTAAGATCTAAACTGGGCATTTTTAAAAAATTTTATTATGTTATGTTAATCACCATACATTACATCATTAGTTTTTGATGTAGTGTTCCATGATTCATTGTTTGCATATAACAGCCAGTGCTCCGTTCAATACGTGCCCTCTTTAATACCCATCACCAGGCTAACCCATCCCCCCACCCCCACCCCTCTAGAACCCTCAGTTTGTTTCTCAGAGTCCATAGTATCTCATGGTTTGTCTCCCCCTCCGATTTCCCCCCCTTCATTTTACCCTTCCTACTATCTTCTTCTTTTTTTAAAACATATAATGTATTATTTGTTTCAGAGGTACAGGTCTGTGATTCAACAGTCTTACACAATTCACAGCACTCACCATAGTACATACCCTCCCTGATGTCTATCACCCAGCCACCCATCCCTCCCACCCCCCACCACTCCAGCAACCTTCAGTTTGTTTCCTGAGATTAAGAATTCCTCATATCAGTGAGATCATATGATACATGTCTTTCTCTAATTGACTTATTTCACTCAGCATAATACCCTCCAGTTCCATCCACATCATTGCAAATGGCAAGATTTCATTCCTTTTGATGGCTGCATAATATTCCATTGTATATATATACCACATCTTCTTTATCCATTCATCTGTCGATGGACATCTTGGCTCTTTCCATATAAACTGGGCATTTTTGAACAGGGCATTTGACATATGCATTAGCTTATTTGTGAAACAAAATTTACCACTGTTGATTTTTAAAGTCCCACTTTGCTATCTTTATATCTAAATTATCTTGAAATTTCATGTACTTATTCATTTTCCTAGTATTTGCATCATTTTGCTAAACATGGTGTTATTTTGATAGCTTACTCCTTCCCCCTTCTTTTTCTGGGGTCCTTTAAAACTTCCATGCCTGTACCTTTAAGGGAAGATTAGCAATTGTTTTTAACTTGCCTGCCTTTTTGGTGGCCTTTAGAGAATGGCACACATGGTTTTCATAGTTGTAATTTCCTATTGTATGACTTATTTGCCTGCTGGACCTAGTGGGAATGAAAATGTTTTGACTTACATTCTGTGGAATGTACTCCTTTAGCCATCCTTTCTTTAAATTCTCTTCTTCCTTCATTATCAGAACATTTGTTGTACAGGTTTTCCTTACATCTTCTCACACCTTAATTTTTTTCTTTGACCTATTACATCTAACAGGCTCAGTTCTCAGGCCTGTGCCTTTGCTAGGTCTGTACTTTGCTCTTTGGGGAACTCATTTACTTTATGTCTTCAATTATCTCTACTGGTCTGACTTCAGACCCCTCTCGAATGACAAGTGTTTGTTTCCTTGAACTCAGCAATTGGTTATTCCCTCCCTGTCCCACAAACTAGCTCCCAGTTTGTTATGGATTTTCTGTCACCCAGTTTCAAAAGTTATGGAGTCATCAATTTTTTTTTCTTTTCCTTACTCATATGTAGTCATCATGAAGTAGTGATTTCTTCTTTGAAAAAATACCTTATATCTATCCCTTCTATTTATTCTCTTTCCATCACTTATACTCCAACTCCAACACCTCTTCACTAGATTTACTACTTACGATGTTTCTCCTCTTCAGTCTATTTTGTACAATCACAAGATTAACACTTTGGTACTGCAAACTTATGCACCTAACTCTCCTTCCCAAATACCCTAGAAGGCTTCCCAGTTGCCTGAATAAAATATAAATTCCTGGTTTGTTTTTCATATTCCTTCAGAATCTTCTTCTAACCCTCCTTTTCAAAATTATACTCAAGTGCACTCATGAGCCTACTGCAACAGTAAAATTGCTTACTTCTCCTAAAGCATGGTGTGGCAGTCTTGAATTCCTTTGCCTTTTTTGTGCTCTTGCTACCTTGCTCAGTGTATGAACATCTTATCCATCTTTTGAGACACATATACCACCATTCCCTTTCCCAGGAAGCTATCCCCTTTATATTCTCATCCCAAGAGGTTGTTAAATCATACCATCCATCTAAACTACATTCTGACAGATTTTTCTTTTAAAAAATTGTTCTTTGTACACATATCACTATATGTATTAAAAGCTATTTTATTGCAGGGAGCTATCTTTATTGCAGAAAAATATATTTTTCTGTACCCCTTATTGCTAGAACAGTGCCTTATGAACATTTAGCCTACCATGAGGAGCTTTGATTGGTTGATTGGTTAGGCTGTCACTGAGTTAATAGAATAGTTGTAGAAGGAAATTATACATTTCTTTAGTCAAAATGTTTTATTTCAGAAAGTATCCAGTTTCTTCACTAAGTCATAAAAGTATCAACTTAGAAAACAAAGAATTGGAAGCTGAGATTTGTGGCCGAGAGGACTAAAAATGGTGAAACGTTTATAGTAGACATTCTGTAGATGTATAAATTAAAGGGATTCTATAATTATGATCCATTTAAGCAATAACTGGGTTGTGACTTGCATCTGGAGGATGGGAATCATAATAATCAGTTGACTTATGAGCTTTCATTTTATTTGCCCTTACTCTTTCCATCTTTTTGTTGTACTTTCTTCCCTTACTTGTCTTTGCTTCTTACTGAACTTTTTTTTTTCTCTTAAGTTCTGATTCTTTCTTTCCTTTAACTTTGTGCTTTCCTTCATCACTTTTCTTCATAGCATCATTTTCTTCTGTATCTGTCTTCTTCCTTGCATCTCCCTGCTTTCCTTGATCCTCAGAGCTCTCTCTCTTTACTCGAGGCCCCTGAACTTGTGGTATTCCAGACTCACTATTGTCTACTGGGGACTTCTGTCCTTGGGGTATTCCAGCTTCACTATTCTCTACTTGGGACTTCTGTCCTTGTGGTATTCCAGCTTCACTATTCTCTACTTGGGACTCCTGTCCTTGTAGTATTCCAGCTTCACTATTCTCTACCTGGGACTCCTGTCCTTGTGGTATTCCAGCTTCATTATTCTCTACTGAGGACTCCTGTCTTTGTGGTATTCCAGCTTCACTATTCTCTACCTGGGACTCCTGTCCTTCTGGTATTCTGGTGTCACTCTTTACTTGAGATTCCTGTCCTTGTTTTATTCCAGACTCACTCTTCTTTACTTGGGATCCCTGTCCCTGTGGTATTCCAGACTCACTCTTCTTTACTTGGTCATCCTGTTCTTGTGGTATTCCAGTATCATTCATCTCTACTTGGGCCTCCTGTTCTTGTGGTATTCCCATGTCACTCACCTTTACTTGGTCTTCCTCTTTTAGTATCCTGGTGTCACTCTCCTTTTCCTTGACCTCCATTCCTATCTTGCCTTTCTCCAACTCAGTGCCTTTTGCTTTGCTTTTTGACTCTGGTTTGTGCCTTGATGTCAAGGATTCATCAGAATCTGTGATTTCTTTCTTTAATGTTTTCTTGTTTTCTTCTTGGCTGCTCTCAGACTTTATAGTGGCTCCATTTTTTAGAATCTTGGCCTTGAAATCTGATTTTTTTGCAAGTTCTGCATCCATGTAACCTGGAAATATAACTGAGCACACAACAAAAGTGCACAATTCAGATATCAAGTACTTTGTCTTTATTCCTACTTTTCCCCCTGATATTGGTTTATTTTTTGTCTTAAAACTGAAAAGCTGGAGATAACTTGAGATTTCCTGAAAATGTAAAATGATGGAACTCTACACTTAAAATTATACAAGTATTGATAATATTCCAGACTCTCTTCAATAAATTGGAAGATTATTGAAAGAAGAGGTAAAATGTATTACAAATGAACTGGTTGGCATACATTCAGTACATTATGGCTGATGAATAATACTTAATAGCTAAAGGAGGATGTATTCTGAAAAGAAATGGAATTTATTTTTAGAAAAAATTGTGCAAAAATGCAATAATTGTTTCTTAAAATAGAAAAAACTCAAAATATGCTTTGGATATTGAATATAAGAATGTCTCATTATTCACAAGTAATAATAGTACTAGCTGGTAATCATTGGGTGCTTATCATATATCAGGCACTCACTGATCTGAGCATTTTATATAAAGTATTAACTCATTTAATCCCCACAACAACCATATAGGGCAGGTACTATTATTATCCCCATTTTACAGATGAAGAAACTGAGGTACAGAAAGTTTAAATGACTGTGAATATGCCTTGGAGTCAGTAAGTGGTGGAGCTGGGATTTGAACCTGAAAAGTCAGACTTCAGAGTTCAGTCTTAACCAATGCCTAAGACTGCTCCTTATGATACCTGCAAACTCACTTTGCAAAAATTTCTGGTCCCTTTTCCCATGTTTAGGTAAGTCAGCTCTACTATGTCTCAATTTCTGTGTGATCTAATAAAACCTGAATTTTTAATTTTAATTTAATTTAATTTAATTTTTTAAAGATTTTATTTATTTATTTGACAGAGAGAGAGACAGCCAGAGAAGGAACACAAACAGGGGGAGTGGGAGAGGGAGAAGCAGGCTTCTCACTAAGCAGGGAGCCTGATGTGGGGCTTGATACCAGGACCCTGGGATTATGACCTGAGCCAAAGACAGACACTTAACGACTGAGCCACCCAGGTGCCCCCAAACTGAAATTTTTAGCTTCTGCTTTCTTTTTTCTTATTTTAGTGATTTGGCTCCCTGATTAAGAAAAAAAATGTTACCAGGAAATGTTACTGTGGGTTCTTGCTGTGAGCAATGGCATACCTTCCTTTAAGAAAACCGATTTAAATATTTAATGTAGTAGAAAGAATACTGAATTTAAAAGCTGAATCAGAACACCTGGGTTTAGTATTCTTGCTAGCTGGGTTTATTTGGGTAAATCCCAAAGACTCACCTTCCTTATATTTAGTTTGCTCTGCCCACTTTGTAGAATTATTTAAGGATTCTAGACAAATGTTTAAGGAGCATCGCTTGTACAGACAGACTGGTTCAAATCCTGGCTTCATACGTAACTAGTCAGGTGAGCTTACTTAGCAAACCTTACTTTGTTATCTGTAAAATGGGTGCAATAGTAGTAGCTACTTCACAGAGGTGTTATGAGGATTAAATAATATTATCTAAGTAAAGCACTCAATGCAGTACATGGAGCATAGTAAGTAGTCCAATAAATATTGGCTATTACTACTACCAAATGAGATCATATAGGCAAAAACTCTGATCTATCAAGACAAGACATTCTTAGTTCCAACCCAATTCTTTAGAGGAATACTTAATTGCTTTACAGGAAGATTTCTTGCTTAAAAATTAACATTTTTTTTCATAGAAATAGCCTTTTGGTATGTTTAGGGTTTGATGTCTGAAATATTGATGCACACACAACCGAATTACAAGTTGCAAAAGATGAGACACACCTGCATTAGGTAAAGGTAACTATGAATCCAAAGAGATGCTGTAGTTATCTTAAGAATAACGTTAAGAACCTTACAATAATGCTTTCTGAACCTTTTGTGTATTTTTTCCTCCCTAATGATTATTTAATAAGATATGGGTACTGACATTTTATTCTAGATAAGCCCACTTCCAATTTACTAATGAAAATCAGTAGTAATATATCCTAAGTATTTTTGTACTTAAAAAGAGAGTTCAGAATATTTTGAAATCTGACAGTACTACCAGTGGACCCTTGTTTTTTGGGAGGATGTGGTGTGGTCTGGAGAAGAGCATGTTTTTCCACTGAAGCTTCCAACCTTACAAATTTGGTGGAATGTGGTCCTTAACAAGCTGACTTTTCATAATATATGAATATTTTTAGTTTTACCATCTCTTGGGAATAATTTTTTTCATATTTACTACTGTGTATACTACTGCAGGACCCATTTTTAAGCTAACTTTATCTCTTAAATTATATAGATTTTTGTTAATCAAAGGTAAGTATTCTAGGATTTAAAGAAACAATGTTTATTCTAGTTACACTTTTCCTAATTTTATAGGATTTTAAAGAATTTTATTCTTTTTCCCACCAAACTAAAAAATACTTCTAGTCACTTCTAATAGTATCTTCATATCTTTGGTTGTTTTAATATCTTTGCTGTATATTTTCCATCTTGAACTTAATTGCATTGTAGAAGTAAGCTACAAATCATTATTCCACCAAATCCTAAGTTCTTCCCTCCTTTCTCTCAAATTTCTAGATACTGCATAAATCTTTTTTTCCCCTGGGATCTCATAATCTCTATAATATAAAGATTTGTAAGCGCTGGCTGAAAGTCCATTTATTGCACACAGTAGACTATATGGCAAAATTCTAATTATAAGGGAAATATTTAATCAAGACCTTGGCAATCATTATAATGTACGCAGGCTACTTAAAGATTTTAAGCTGGATTAATTTTTGTTAAAGCTAAAAGATATCATGAGTTAGCTATCATAGTAATAATTCTAATTATATGATACTTAAAATAACTAGACTATGGGCCTTATTAGAAAAATATTCCTATGAAGTTCTTTACCCAGTGGCTGTCAGGGAGAGCACACTCAGATCTAGACCATAAAGATCTGTTAAGCATTAGGGGCATGACTCATTGTAGATCTCAGTCCATGAATTAACATTTAAAAAAAAATCATATATGGAGATGAGAAATTAAGAGACTTAACTTGAAAGGGTGATGAAGTTTGATGAGCTGATCTGTCTTATATCTTTCTTTGAACAATGAATTAAACCTTAATCTCTTTTTGCTAAAAATATCAACTGGGAAGAATATGTTTAAAATATTGTCAACAAGAATATATCTTTTACAAGAAAAAGTTTTAAAAGGTTGAACTGATTTTTTTCCTGGCAATTTAAAAAAACCATAGTCATTAAAAATGAATTCACTTCCAGGGAGGGCCTTAGCCTATGATTCCTTCCCAAAGCCCTCTTTCTTTTTGTAAAGAAAACATACACACTCGTATCACCTTCCCCATGTGGGGAGGTCGTTTGAGAGAGGCAGATACATCATGATTGCTCTGAATGTATATTATTTTTTGTACTGTGAATGCAAAGAAAACAATTATCCCTTTCAACTTCACCTCCTCCTACTCACAAACCCACTCTCCTAGGGTGAACTGAGAAAGAGGAACAATTAAATATAAAGATATATTTTGTGTTTATTAGTGTTTGGAAAGTTTGAGATGCCTGAAATATAGCTTACTAAATTTAAGTTTTACTTGCTTCTTATGGTTGTATATTTACAGAGTTTTAAGAATTATTATTCTGTTTCATATGATTTTCTTGAAGAGCTGAGGCATTAAATAATCCTGATGGGAAATCTGAATTTAGAAAGCAGTTAAAAGCCAAACATTAATCTAGATGGGATGTCTTTTATTTTTAAAACTATTCTTTTGCATACATTTAATTATATATCTTCTCTAGTGGATGTGTATTTGTATTTACAAACATTTTATTTATAGATATGGTTTCAGGACTAATCACAAAAAAGGCCTTTGTGATTCAGTATAGAAGGCAATGTGTTGGCATGGAAAGAGTATGTACTTCGGAGATAAGAAGTCCTGGATTTAGATCCTGACAGTGCTGTTTACCAACTCTTTAACCTTAGGCAAGTGTGAGCAAATTTACTGATTTGTAAAGTGGGGAATAACAATAGCTAGCAGACAGGCTAAGAATAAGAGATAAGGTTTTTCTAGCACAGTGCACAGTATATAGAAGGGCTCAATACCTACTATTCCTCAAAAGTAAAGTTACTTAGAAGGCAAGAGAAAATAGATAAAGTTTTTTTCTTAACTAGTTATTTTTTCTGGTAATATGATTCAGTGGACCTTCACTTATAACCACAAAAAGAGTTCTAAATTACCAGCAAAAAACTCACAAAATTTAGAAACCAATCTTTCTTTCATTATAGTTTGCTGGGAGTTAGAAAGGAGATTCTTTTTCAGAGCCTAGAAGATGGCCAGAGATTATGGCATCCTTTTGTATGAACTTCATCTCCTCTACAGCTGTCTCTCCAAAAATAGTTATTTAAAATATTAGAAGAGTCTGGAGAATAGGAAAATTTAAAATGTCCTTAGAAACACAAGTCTCTGTTTTGGGAGTAGAAACAGCAAATCCAGAAAATATAAACAATGTAAAATATCACAGTTGAGAATAACTTACCCATAGGAGATAGTGCTAAAAATAAAACACAAAAGATCGATCAGTGGGAATTTTCTAACTCAAGGAAAATCCCACTCCCAATAATAATACCCTTTGTAGGTGAATGCAGAAACAGCACCACCAAGTACTATAAAACCCTCTGTTTCATCCTCAGGAGTGCTGCTGGCCAACGCTCCACATCCTACTTCACAGACACAGGTTTCTTTAGGATGCCATTTGTTAATGTATGGGATAGAATCCTTGGGTAGGTAATATCTATTCTACTAAATTTCAAACTATAGCATTTCCTACTTTCATTGTTCTCTCATAAGTCAGTTTTTTACCCACTCCCCTTTAGATCATTTGGAAAAATATGTAATGTTGGCCAATTATCAAAATCACCACCTTGTCCTGACACTTACTCTTTTTGTCAATTTTAGGTGATTTTCTTTTTTTAGTAAAAATTATCCATTGTCAGATGATAGCACAAGGAAAACAGGCTCCCTTGTGGTAGACTAGCTGGGAATACATGCTACCAATAATCTTTGGTAGAAAATAACCAGAATTATGAGACAAGACCATTATATTTTGTTCCAAAAGAAAAGAAGAAAAGTATGAGAAAATAACTTATTTAAGAAATATTGACTACTCTAAGGTAGAAGAACATGAAATACAAAAAAATTGGGTAACAAAAACTCAAAGGTCCTAGACACAGAAATAGGTAAGGCAAAGAAATGATCCAAACTTACTGATTTTTCCAGAGCTGTCCACTGAAAGAGATAAGAAAAAAGCATCAGTAGGTGTTGGGCTTTCCCTTCTTACACAAAGCCACACTCTTCTGCACTGGATGGGCAGAATCTGTGTCATGAACAACTAAGTTCCTTTTATTTAGATGTAGGGAACCTCCATTATCCCTCCCCTTCCTCTTGGCCTGTTACTGTTTAGAAAGATCTTGTGATTAGCTATTTTATGAAAATATTTTGATTAAATATATTTACATATTGTACAAATTCAAGGTGTTCAACATGTTAATTTGGTACATTAGTATATTATAATATGATTGCCATTGTAGCAATAATTAGAACCTCTATGACATTACATAATGATCCTTTCTTGTGGTTGTAACCATGAAGTTCTAGTCTCTTGGCAAGTTTGGTGACTGTCATACAATATTGTTGTCTATATTCACTATACTATGCATTAGATCTCTAGGACTTATTTACTACTTGTAAATTTGTACCTTTGAATAGCACCTGTCCTATCCCCCCACCCACAGTCCCCTAGTAACCCCCATTTTACTTTCTTTTTTAAATAAATTTGGCTTTCCAGATTCCACATATAAATGATACCATACAGTACTTGTCTTCCTCTGTCAGACTTACTCATTCAGCATATTATGCTCATGTTTTTGCAAATGGCATGATGTCTTCCTTTCTCACTGTCGAAGAATATATCCTGTGTGTGTGTGTGTGTGTGTGTGTGTGAGACATCCTCTTTATCCAGTCATCCATTGGTATGGGCAATTAGTTTGTTTCTGTACCTTGGCTGTTGTGAATAATGTTGCAATAAACATGAACGTATATGTATTTTTTAATATCCTGTTTTCATTTCCTTTGGATATATACCCAGAATGGAATTGCTGCATCATATGGTAGGTCTGTTTTTAATTTTTTGATGAACCTCCACATTGTTTTCCATAGTGGTTGAGCCAATTTACATTCCCACTAACAGTGTACAGAGGTTCCCTTTTCTCCATATCCTTGCCAACACTTACCTTTTGTGTTCTTGATCATAGCCATTCTAGCAGGTATGAGGTGATATCTCATTGTGGTTTTGATTGCATTTCTCTTGATGATTAGTGATGTTGACCACTTCCCATGTACCTGGTGAGCACTTGGATGTCTTCTTTGGAAAAATATCTATTCAGTTCCTCTGCCAAATTTGTATTCAGCTTCTTTTTTGCTATGGAATTGTATGAGTTCTTTATATATTTTGGATATTAACTCATTGTCTAATATATGGTTTGCAAAAAGTTTTTCCCATTCCATGGGTTGTCTTTTCCCTTTGTTAACTGTTTCTGTTGATGTGCAGAAGCCTTTAAATTTGATGTAGTCCAACCTGTTGATTTTTGTTTTTGTTATTTGTGCTTTTGGTGTCATGTCCAGAAAATCAATGCCAAGACCAGCATTGAGGAGCTTCTTCTCTACGTTTTCTTCTAAGACTTTTATGGTATCAGGTTTTATGTTTAAATCTGTGATCCATTTCAAGTTAATTTTTGTGAGTTGTGTGAGATAGAGGTATAATTTTATTGTTCTTCATGTTTTTTAAGGTTTTATTTTAATTCCAGTTAGTTAAAATACAGAGTTATATTAGTTCCTGGTGTACAACATACTGATTCAATACTTCCATACAACACCTTGTGCTCATGACAGCAAGGGCACTCCTTAATCCCCATCACCTATTTTACCCACCCTCCCACCCACCACCATCAGTTTACCCTCTATAATTAAGTCTGTTTCTTGGTTTGTCTCTCTTTTCTCTCCTTTTCCCCCCTTTCCTCTTTTGTTTTGTTTTTTAAATTCCACATGTGAATGAAATAATATGGTATTTGTCTTTCTCTTACTGACTTATTTCACTTAGCATAATATAATCTAGCACCATCTATGTCCTTGCAAATGGCAATATCTCATTCTTTTTTATGGCTCAATAACATTCCATTGTATATATATATATATACCACTTCTTTATCATTCATCAGTTGATGGACATGTGGGCTGCTTCCATAATTTGGCTATTGTAAATAATGCTGCTATAAACATAGGGGTGCACATATCCATTTGAATTAGTATTTTAGTATCCTTTGGGTAAATACCCAGTAATGTAATAGCTGGATCATAAGGTAGTTTCTATTTTTCACTTTTTGAGGAATCTCCATACTGTTTTCCACAGTCATTGCACAAGTTTGCATTCCCAGCAACAGTGCACCAGTGCTCCTTTTTCTCCAGTCTCACCAATACCTGCTATTTCTTGTCTTTTTGATTTTAGCCATTCTGACAGGTGTGAGGTGATATCTCACAGTAGTTTTGATTTGCATTTCCCTGCTGATGATTAATGATGAACAACTTTTCATGTGTCTGTTGGCCATCTGTATGTCTTCTTTGGAAAAATGTCTTTTCATGTCTTCTGCCCATTTTTAATTGGATTATTTGTTTTTTGGTTGTTGAGTTTTATAAGGTTTTTTTTTATATATTTTTGATACTAACTCTTTATCAGATATGTCATTTGCAAATATCTTCTGCCATTCCTTAGGTTGCCTTTTAGTTTTGTTGATTGTTTCCTTTGCTGTGCAGAAGATTTTTATTTTGATGTAGTCTCAATAGTTTGCTTTTGTTTCCCTTGCCTCAGGAGACATATCTAGAAAAATGTTGCTACAGCTGATGTCAAAGAAGTTATTGCCTGTGTTCACTTCTACGATTTTTATGGTTTCAGGTCTCACATTTAGGACTTCAAACTATTTTGAATTTATTTTTGTGTGTGGTATAAGAAAGTGGTCCAGTTTCATTCTTTTGCATGCAAATGTCCAGTTTTCCCAACACCATGTGTTGAAGAGACTGTTTTTATTCTACTGGATATTCCTTTTGCTTTGTCAAAGTTGAATTGACAGTATTATTATATTATTATTTCTGGGTTTTCTATTCTGTTCCATTGATCTATGTGTCTATTTTTGTGCCAGTACCATACTGTTTTGATTACTGGAGCTTTGTAATATAACTTAAAATCCAGAATCGTGATGCCTCTAGCTTTACTTTTCTTCTTGAAGATTGTTTTGGCTATTCAGGGTCTTTCATGGTTCCATACAAATTTTTGGATTGTGTGTTCTAGTTCTGTGAAAAATGCTGTTGTTATTTTGATAAGAATTGCATTAAATGTGTAGATTGCTTTGGGTAGTATAGACAATTTAACAATATTTTTTCTTCCGATCCATGAGCATGGAATGTCTTTCCATTTCTTTTTGTCATCTTCAGTTTCTTTTGTCAGTGTTTTATAGTTTTCAGAGTACAGGTCTTTTACCTCTTTGGTTAGGTTTATTCCTAGGTATCTTATTATTTTGGGTACAATTGTAAATGAGATTGTTTTCTTAGTTTCTCCTTCTGCTGCTTCATTATTGATCTATAGAAATAAAACAGATTTTTGCATATTGATTTTGTATACTGTGACCTTACTGAATTCATTTATCAGTTCTAGCAATTTTTTCATGGAGTCCTCTGGGTTTTCCATATATACTGTCATGTCATCTGCAAATAGTGGAAGTGTTACTTCTTCCTTACCAATTTGGATGTCTTTTATTCCTTTTTGTTTTCTGATTGCTGTAGCTAGGACTTCCAGTACTATTTTTTTTTTAAAGATTTTATTTATTTTGACAGAGAGAGAGTACAGGAAGGGGGAGTGGCAGGCAGAGGGAGAGGGAGAAGCAGGCTCCCTGCTCATCAGGAAGCCCAATGCGGGGCTCGATCCCAGGATCCTGGGATCATGACCCAAGCCGAAGGCAGATGCTTAACCTTTTGAGCCACCCAGGCGCCCCTTCCAGTGCTATGCTGAATGAAAGTGGTGAGAGTAGACATCGTTGCCTTGTTCCTGACCTTAAGGGAAAAGCTCCCAGGTTTTCCCCATTGAGGATGATGTTAGCTGTGAGTTTTTCACATATGGCCTTTATTATGTTGAGTTTATTATGTTATTATGTTGAGGTATGTTCCCTCTAACCCTACTTTGTTGAGGGTTTTTAATCATGAATGGATGTTGTACTTCATCAGATGCTTTTTCTCCATCTATTGAAATGATCATTCTTATGTTTTATCTTACTAATGTGATGTGTCATGCTGATTTATTTGCAAATATTGAACCACTCTTGCAACCCAGGAATAAATCCCACTTGATCATGGTGAATAATTTTTTTAATGTATTGTTGGATTTTGTTTGCTAGTATTTTATTGAGGACTTTTGCATCTATGTTCATCAGAGATATTGGCCTGTAGTTCTCTCTTTTTTTTTTATGGTGTCTTTTTTTTTTTATTTGAGACAGAGTGAGAACGAGAGAGATCAGAGAGGGAGAGGGAAAGGGAAAGGGAGAAGCAGACTCCCCGTTGAGCAGAGAGCTTGACACGGAGCTCTGTCTCAGGACCCTGAGATCATGACCTGAGCCAAAGGCAGATACTTAACTGACTGAGCCACCCAGGTACCCCTTTCATGGTGTCTTTATTTGGTTTTTGTATCAGGGCAATAGTGGCCTCATGGAATGAATGTGGAAGTTTTTCTTCCTTTTCTATTTTTTGGAATAGCTTGAGAAGTAAAGGTATTAACTCTTCTTTAAATGTTTGGTAAAACTTTCCTGAGAAGCCATCTGGCCTTTCGTTTGTTGCTAGTTTTTTGATTACTGATTCATTTTCTTTATTGGTTATCAGTCTGTTCAAATATTCTATTTCTTCCTGTTTCTGTTTTGATAGGTTATTTGTTTGTAGGAATTTATTCATTTTTTTCTAGGTTGTCCAATTTGTTGGCATATAGTTTTTCATAATATTCTCTTATGATTATATTTCTATGGTATTTCTTCTCTCTTATTTGTAATTTTATTTATTTTGGTCTTTTCTCTTTTTTGTTGATAAGTTTGGCTAGAAGTTTATCCATTTTATTGATTTTTTTCAAAGAACCAGCTCCTGGTTTCATGGGTCTATTTTTTTTTTCATTTTTTAGTTTCTATAGAATTTATTTATGCTGTAATCTTTATTATTTTCTTCCTTCTGCTGGTTTTGGGTTTTGTTTGTTGTTCTTTTTCTACTTCCTTTAGGTGTAAGGTTAGGTTGTTTAGTTGAGAATTTTCTTGCTTCTTGAGGTAGGCCTGTATTGCTATAAACTTCCCTTTTAGAACCACTTTTCTTGCATCCCAAAGGTTTTGAACATTGTATTTTCACTTTCATTTGTTTCCATGTATTTTTAAATTTTTTTCTTTTGTTTTCTGGCTGACCCATTCATTGCTTAGTAGCATATTATTTAACCACTATGTATTTGTGGTCTTTCCCTATTTTTTTCTTATGGTGGAGTTCTAGTTTCTTAGCCATGTGGTCAGAAAAGATTCATGGATGATTTTGACCTTTTTGAACTGGTTGACGGTTGCTTTGTGGACTAATATGTGATATATTCTGGAGAATATTCCATGTGCAGTTGAAAAGAATGTGTATTCTGCTGTTTTAGGATGGAACTTTTTGAATGTACCTGTTAAATATATTAGTTCCAGTGTGTCATTCAAAGTTATTGTTTCCTTATTGACTTGCTGAAAAGCGGGTGTTAAAATCCCCTACTATTATTATTGTTCTGCACGTTTGTATCTTGTTTTCCCAGCACCATTTGTTAAAAAGATTATCCTTTCTCCATTGAGTGTTTTTGGCTCCCTCCTTGAATATTAGTTGACTGTATATGTGGGTGTTTAATTCTGGCCTCGTTCTTCTGTTTTATTGGTTCATGGGTCTATTTTCATATCAGTACCATACTGTTTTTATTATTATAGCTTTATAGTATAGTTTAAAATCAGCAAGTGTGATACCTCTAGCTTTTTTTTCCCACTCCTCTGGATTGCTTAACTTGACTGAGCCACACAGGCTTCCCAAGAATGCACATTTCTAAGGAGTTGTCAGGGATGCTGATGCTGATGTTCCAGGGACCACACTCTGACATCCACAGCTCTAACCTGGTCTGTTGATGGGACAGAAAACTGACTAAAGAGCACACCTGTGGCCTAGGTGGGACC